CGATCAGCAAGATATTTATAAGATCAAAATAATAGGGATAAGGTCCCTTTAATGGGTGGACCGATAGATTTTTTTCCAATCGTTATAAGAGTTTGGCTAATGAACAATTGCAATGTAAATTGGAAAAGTCATCTATATATATGTTGTATCATAGTTTGGGGACCTTTCTGTTGAAAATGTGCCAGAGTTAAATCGTATACATATACATGCACAGTGTGTTAACTGGACTGCAGGTATTAGTTACCCGCACTCCAGAGTATGCCCACTGATTGGCTCATTTTTGCTGGGGTTTATACATTGTGACGGCAGAGAATAGGAAAGCGACAGAAATATCATATTCAGATGTTCGTTCATTGGTTCCTTTTTGCCGGGGTTTCATATTGTGACAACAGGGAACGTGTTTTTATGTTTGACTATGATACAAAAGAGAAAGATCATCAAAACACTCGGCAATCTGATTTATACTCGTGGGCTACGCCCCCTCTTACAAATCAGATAGCCTCGTGTTTCGATGCACTTTCTATTACTTTTATAATATTGCGACCACAAAATTCTTAGAAAATTATACCGGCATGGGCCTCGATATATTTGGTGAAAAAAATGCCATGTAAAAGAAAGAACACGATAAAATTTGCATGTGCTTGACACTTCATGCTTTTTTAAGTTATTTATGGCGTATGTGTACTGTAATAATTATAGTTTTCCTGCCACGCGATCGCGTTATTTTCAATTTCCAGTGACATGTTTACAGGCATACAATTGCCATCTTCAATTTTCAATGACAATTTTATTAGAAGACAAAATATACATGTATATGGAGGTCTAGACAATGCTATAAGACGTGGAAGATTATCATCTAAGAAATTTGTCTCTTGTATTTTAATGATTGTAATGTTGATGTTTGATTCGCTGTAAACAACTACTGTTTTTACAAAGAATTCTTATAGTTTTAATTATAAGACAAATGTGATTTGTGACGATTTGCATACGTAGGTATCGTTATTGCACAATTTAACATCTTTATTTAATGCAAAAATTAAAACAAACAATACAGGTAATATGTATTCATATACAAGGTCGTAAAACACAATTTCCAAAATTTGCAAGCCGATTATTAATCAGATATTTATATATTTATATAATATATTAAGAATTTTTGTGCTAAACATTGTTTCTTTTTTTACTAGCAAAATATAGAACTAAAAAGTGACCGGAAACTGCTGTTAAACTTGTCGTCAGACATCTCGACAAATTAACGATATTATTTTGTCTTACTTACTGAAGAAATTTTTTCGACCGTTAATAAAACATTTCTCCAACTCCTAAATCTAAAATCTATTGTCACTCCACCCAATATACTAAAATATGAAATGAATATATTGCTATATGCTCGTGACGATGGTCAATATACTTTTATTGGTAGTGCATAGATGTTTTTGTGGCAGTGTTTGAAGATATTTAAGAAGAATTTTTTTCACAGAGGAATAGGGTGTAAAGCTTTCATAACAATGTCCATAATGTGATATTATATAATTTATCTTTCAAGAAATAAAAAGGCAACTCATAGTGTTCGCTGTATTTTTTATATAAATAGTTCTGTACAAAGTACATTATAGTAAAAATTTCTTAATTCAACACAGATTTGAAGGCCTTAGATATTATAGTAATTCATATCGTTTTTGTGATTTATGGTACGATGAATAATTTACACCACTTTTAAATCTAAACTCGTTTATTGGTAATTCCCTTAAGTATAAAAGATGCGATTACAGGAATTAATTTGCAACAAAGTGTATTATGCAATTATAAGGACATTAGTCTTCTTTACAAATGTGTTAACTTTTTATTAAAGCAATCGGTTGCTTGTAAGTAATGCTTGTGTAGGCCGACTGTGCCAATAAATCACATTGTTTAGCAATATATAGCCTTATATTGTGTTTAATAGAAAACAGAAATGTTAACTTATGTACGATAGATTTAAATAATGATCTTACTGATAATGTCCGTAATGTCAGAAATTTAAAATTTAAATTATGCTAAACATACGAGTATACAATGTTTAATCACTCTTACAGTTTCGGATGCAATAATTTATCAAAACATTTATTTGTTTCTAAATATAGATCAGTTGTCTTACTAATGATACATAGTCTTTGTATTGAATTTGTCTGTTTAGAACCACTGCAAATGTACGTTTACGTCTTATTAACATATGGCAGTATTAAACACACAATTCCTTCAAAGAATGTAATGAGACACATCACGTCCAAATATGTTCCCGCGTAATGTTAAAATGAATTAATAACTTAGTCCAGTTAAAGAAAAAATGACATTTCAGATGTATTCAACATACAAAAATATAGTATACCTAATTATGAATAGATTCAATCTAATTTCACATTTCACACAAATATAGTTAAAGAATGGCCTGCTCTCTGACCGTTTCTAACAATCTAACCTTCATACAAGCATCGTTTCATTAAACGTATAAATAAATTCATCTCAACTCAATATACATATAGCACAAAGTTGATACTCTAAATGAACCACCACATGTACATTCATGTTATATATTATAGCCGCTGTATTGAGGTGCGACAGTTATTCACATATGATGATGGAAATATAGCTGCAGATACAATGTTGTTTTGTCATTATGTTCATGTTTATATAAAACCCTGTATTTTGTTCAATTTTTTATTTGTATAACCCATTGATTTACGGTCTATTTTCAGAAGAAATGTTTTAACCAGTACAGGATGGGTGTGATAAATATTGGGTTTCATCTGTACAATATCAAGGAAAACGTCATTTGAGAAGAGTTTATGATGACCAACGTCTTTAAAAATGGAAAGGAGTGAATCTTTATTTTCATTGTTAATTGGATACGTACTCGTGTAACAAAGAAAGAAGAAACAGAAGATACAGAATGTAAGTTTATTTTATCTCCAATTTTACCAAATACTGTTGAAACGCATAGGAACAGTTGAAAAATAATAAATACAAGATATCATTATGCCTAGAAGTCTAAAGTAAAAGCGTGATGAGATTGATCAGTGACATTTATAGAGGTCGTTTGCTCTTTTGGTTGTGTGTGTTTGGCATCACTCGTGTATGTGACATGCTCTTTTTATATTTACCGGTTGGTGGCATCTTTACCGCCATACCTGAAGTCAAACATATGGAAATCTAATTCTAATATTTCTCAATTTTGACGAAATCGTTGAATATACTATTTGTTTCTGCATGGCCTTAAACGAAAGGACAACATGCTCATAGTCGCTGCGATTTACTTGCCATAATTAGTCGGTATGTTGATAAAGAAATACAACATATTTATATAATCAGACTTAAAGATGTCCGTTTATTTCTTTATCTCACTAATTATCAACTGCTTCTGCTGTCATGTGACTATAAAACATCTTATTTGAAATTATTTCCAGAGGCAATCAGGTTCATGAGCTATTTATGTTTCTGTATGGACATCTTGATTTTTTTTCGTTTTCTATACTTTCCATGCAATGTTTTACTATCCTTGTTAATAATATGATATTATGATAACAAATGAAATAAAAAAAGGCTTAATGATGTTTGATATGTTTTATTTTTGTCATTGTATTTAGATGCGAATGGGCTCGTTTTAGTTTATATTATTTCGCACATTACATGTCCCTCTCCTTTCGCCGTCCTTATGTTCACTCCAGGTTTTGGTTTGGTGCCTTCTGGGTGCCCTACTTGGGTATGTCGGGAGCTGCGTCCTGTGAACGTTGCCTTGGGCTTGTTGATGTTTATTCTTATTTTTTATTACATGTCAGGAATAATAGCGAGATCAGTTAAAATAATATTTTGCAGAATAGTGCTTGGAACATTCAATAATTTTTAATTGCACTTTCTTTCACATGTTTAAGATTTATTGAAATCAAATATGAATAAACCTTATTAATTATTTCATACTATAGTTTGTAAGTTATTCAAAATACAACAAAGGAATAAAACTTAAACACCGGATGATTTAGATCATAGTCAATTTGGTTTGTGAAATTTGGTTTCTGTCTGTCAGGCAAATATCATACATTTAAGCATATTGAATTCAACATTTCATAAATATTTAGAAAAAATGTATAAATCTTCGAACACGATCACAAAAAAATCATAATAAATCTCTATTTCAAACAAACTTTCAAGATTGGTTTTTGATGTTACAAATTATCTCGAATCATTTTATTTTCCAATCCCTTACAGACAAATCTGTTCCATGGCACATGCTTTTTTATATTATAATGGCGTATCAATTGTTTTCCCACATACCAGTGACGTTAGTACGATCAAATCGCTCCAAGGGGAATTCAAAAGACCACTATCGACTTTATTCCCCAGAAAAAAGTTACTTTTTGTGATGATAAATTATGTCGCCGCCGACATTATATGAGAGACCTGACATATTACATGAAAGCAATATATTTTATATGCTTGAAGATTCCCGAGGTACCAGTGTGACGACTTTGTTTATTCCGAGCAATTGAAAATATGGGATTTCTCCAGAATATGACGTTATTCAATTAACAGACAGTTCAGTTTCAGGAATGACTCCAGACATTAATGCTATTGCCTCACATTTCATTTTCATCATTTCGTATGTTGAGACATATTTCTTAAGATAAAGCAAGACCAATAAATGTTCTCTTTTCTAAGATTTAATCATAATGGTATTACTAATGGATCCGTTTCTTAAAACGAAAATGGAAAAACTGACAAATGATGGATTCATATTGTAGGATTAAACAATTTGAAAACGCGTGTCCAATTGTCATAACGTATTTCTTTCAATCTAATACAACACATACAATGATGGATGTAACAAAAACTGAAGACGCCATTTAGACAATAACGGATTAATCTTTCCTGAGTAGACACTGTTTTTCATATGAACAGTTGGTAATTAGATCCTATTTTGACTGCCTCATGAATTTTTCACGGAGGAAAACATTGTTATTAGAGTTCCTCAGAAACAGACGTCAGTTACCTAGCAAGAACAAGCCTAAGAGTATCAATCAGCGTAAAATATATAGGTTATTTGAGCATTCATAGTTAAGTAATCAAATGGAGTGATTCTTTTACTAATATATTTTATAATTAAGTATTGTTTATCGCGTGAATAAAAGGTGAAAATATTAAGAAAGACAAATTGATATGTACTGGAATATTCTGTTGGAATACAATGAGTTTTCCATCTCTTATTTTAGCAACAGCTTCCGGAGAGAGGTCTGCAGTCAAGGAAGATGCTAAACGGGAAAATGAACAGTTATGTGCTGAAATAGACAGCTTAGGGCGTGAAATTAAAAAGCTCAAACAAATTGTTGACCATTTGTCACGAGACTATGAAGATTCTAAAGGATATGATCCACTAAGACGGTATGAAAAATTAAAAGGAATGATTAAAAGGACAATAATGCATTTAAGACTAAATCCAGACGAACCAAATACGGTTCAAAACATTGGTGTTGGAGGATTAGTTCAAGGATGCAAGGACTTCAGCCATCAAGCCGAAAGTGCCAGGCGAAGAGAAGACAAATATGCCAGTAAGTTTACCTTACTATATTCTTGTCCTTACAAAATTGTGATATATAAAGATATGATTCTTAAACTAATTAATGTTTAATCACAAATTTATCAATATCTGAGAAGACTCTTAAGGTAATATGTGACACCACATACTGCGTATGAATTTGTAGGGAGTTTAAATATATTCATAGGCCTCAATAACATTTGATTTATGATCTTAACATTTGCAATTTTGTATGTTCTGTTGGATATTTCTTTGTCTGCAAACAATGAAATCTAAAGTCCTTGTAAATAACATTTTTATATTTTTATTCACTATCAAACGTCATTTCCGAGAGGCAAACTCGTCCGCATATGTCACAACTCATATTGAAATTGAAACTGTCCTCACTACGCATATGATTTAGATTTCATAGACTACTTCTCACACTATACATGCTATACATGTATATATAAATACTAAAGAACGACTGTACTATATCGATGGAAAACATGCGTATATTTCTACAACCAAACGTAGTTATTACCACAGCTGCTCTATTATATACTCTAGATCAATGCTTTTAATTCGCAATTGATAAATTCATTCCCCACCCCTTTAATAACATATTTGGATATTTGCTAACCAATATCATCGGTATTGTTGTTTTAAATCACTTTCCGTTTTATGGAATAATGGTCATATATAAACCTGTAAATTAAATCATAGAATGTGTTGCAGTTAATATAACAAACTATTTATTACTAGTATTTGAATTTTTCTGAATAATAATGTTGTACTGAATACAAGTCTTTACACATTTAATTGTTCACGAGATTTAGCAAGTTTTAGAGAACGAAAACGTATAACAATAAACTTAAGGCAATAAGGAATTCCAAAATTTGGTTCAGACTGCAGACATTCTAACGTCCATTACAAAATGTATCATTGCCATTGCTTATTGGTAGCTTATGCAGTATGTGAAGCTCAATAAATTATAAAGTCTCGATTAATACATTGCTATGAGGTTTCTGTAATAAGCTCAGTGTCTTATCACTTGTAAGTCATTACTAGACCTGACGTTTCCTTATCTAGAGACCAGATAATGCTATGTTTATACCAGAAAGTCAAAAAAAGATAGCATTCAGATTTATCAGATGTGGTGATCAATACGTGTAGTAAAAGAAAAAAATAACTATACAGAAAGGATGTTTCGTTTGTTCACATTTTCCGAGATATATTGAACAGATCAATTCTTTGAATAAAATGAAAATTGAAAAAAAAAATGCACAGTATGTTAGCAAGAATGGTAAAGTCATAAATTGTAGTTAGCATGTACTAAAAAGTTAATATTCATACAATTGACATCTTCTTTGTAAAACTCAGTTGAAATTACTTTTTCAATGAGCTACTATTTTATAATGTAGTGGCTTGTAATATTTCTACAATATACGATATATGTTTATGCCGTTTACATTCGCTTTCAGAGATGTCAAGACAAGAGTTACAAGACGAAAATGTCCACCTTTCAGATCAAGTTCGAGAACTACGTCGTAAATGTTCTATTATACGTGACATTATTGGTACACTTCACAAACACTATGAAATGTCAAAAAGAGCTCCTGTTATGCAGCGATATAACATGCTTAAAGTTATGATAAAGAAGGTTGTAAATGACGAATTGATATAGATGAACCAACTTTTATGACGTATATCTTGAGAATGTCGGTGTCGTTATGAAATTCATCCTAAGATTACAATCAAACAAACATGCCGAGATGTTCATGTGTATATTGCTGCATATTACGTGGCGATAAGATCAGAACAAACGTACGTCTTATCTTACGATCCTTTAAAATACATAAATTCTATTGCAAATTATTTGTAAGCTTACACTGACATTAAGACAATGACATGCAATATTTGACAGATATTTCACTTATCAGTATTGCAAACATTTTGGCAAAACAACAATGTATAAAGGGACGAAATATATGCAAGGGAAGAGAGAAGTACTTGTTTAATTCAAGTAAATAATAATCTTTATAAAGGAAATAATAACATGTGACATATAAACACACACTATTTACTAATTTGTTTATAAGAGAGATACATGTTAAATAATATGTCATCTAAATAAGTTCAGGGGATCTGAAAGTAAAAGATATATTAGCGGAATCGTTTCTACTCCTTGTGTTATAGAAACCAGCCTGGATAATATGTTCTTAATCTTTTTAATTCCCGGATTTAATGACCCAATGAACGTTTCTTTTGAATGATGTGTAGCTATATTCATCATGTTAACGTAATTAATCGTGGTTTGTCAAATAATCATTAAATTATGGGTCTCAATTATGTCGCAAAAAGTTTTTGACAATTTTATATAATGTAAATATGTTTATGTAGAAATGATTTATATTTATTTATGATTTTTTTATTAAACTAACTTAATATATCTATTATTTACTGGAAAGAGTAATTAAATAGAAAAATAACCTTCTAGCAAATTATCAAAACAAGTATTACTTGTTGGTTAGAAGTCTTGATATAATAGTTATTTTGTTACGAGCATGAATTCCAATTTCAACAAACCTTGTTTTTATATAACTGTATGAGTGTGCTGCTAAATAATAAAAGATAAAAATAACCATATTGTGAATATAATTGACTTTAATTTTGAAGTAGTTTTGTAAATGACGTTTTAATTAAATATTGTATAAGTGTACATATGTTATCTTGTCTGGGTTTATTCATTTTATATGAATATGTAATAAATATGTAATAAACTGCAAGAAGAACACAACCCTGTTGCAATTATGAGATCGTTTTGTTTCAAAGCTGTACAGACAGACATTCTCTAATTTTCGGCAGTGTACATTAAATTAAAGTGTACCAAGGAAATATATTTAGATAAAATATTGTACAACAAGAATAAGTTTATAAAAAAAACAGTTAATAAGTTGATGCCCTGAAAAAACATAAATTCCATGTAAACTTGTAACAGACCCCCTTATAAGTAGTAACATCGTTTAGATATTATATAGTTATATATTTTTTGTATATTTGAGAGGGAGTTTACTATCAACTTACAAATAGTTGGTACATATAAAACAAAGTTTTTAGATCAGTTAAATATAAAATAAATTTTTATGTGTATAAAAAGTAATTATATGATTTACATACATGGAATATATGTAAGATGAAGTTATTTTTGCACACAAAGAGTATTATTTTTGAACTTACTTTATTTGTACTCTTTATGTTAAAATTATGGTAAAAATGTTGCCTTATGGATTATAAATAATACAATTTAATGTGATCACTACTTCATATATCTTATAACTATTATATAAATAAGTTAGTTCTTTTTAATAGATACAACTTTTGTTTTTCCTGTAAGTTACGTGTTAATTTTACACAACTGATCATCCAGAATATTTCTAAGCCAATAACTATATGACAATATATAGAGGATATTTGTTTGTTTGTGTGTAAGATGAAATTTTATTTCATCGAGTGGGCTTTAAAAAAAGTAAAATACTGTTTTTAAAGTTCACGAGATGAAATAAAATTACATCTTACACAACAAACAAACAAATTTTCTTTTTATTTTATGCTTAAAAACAAGTTAAAACGAATTTTCCATAATATTAACGTTAATATTAAAATCTGTTTTCCCCACTGAGAGCCCCATTTAGTCGGAATTTCTCATTAAATACAAGAAGTCTTGAGCTGAAAATTAGTTCGACAATCAACGTTAAATGACGGTGATATTATTCATTTTATTAAAAAAATATGAATGATCGCTTGTTTTAATAATAAAAACAAACAACACTTGTAGGAGAAAAAGTCCAACCATCCATCCATATTCCGTTACTTACTGCGAATTTATATTAGACCTTGCTTTGTTAAATGTAAGCGGCAGCCAAGTTGTGTATTTCACGGGAGGAAAATATTTGTGTTTGATTCAGAGGGATATCATTTGGATTTGTTAGTCATACACCTTTTTAAAAGAAAGAAAACTTATTTGAGGATTGTAACAGACAAAAAATAAGTGTTGACAGATGTGAAATCATTCAAAAAGCAGCAAGGAAAATAGAAAACTTCAAAGGCTGGCTCAGGAACGCTGGGTTGTTTACTTATTCTACGGGAATGGCTGTCATTGCTTTTCAAGTTTTCATAAAGCATACGGCAGTTATTGCTCGTAGGATACTTTAATATGCCCATATGTCATCAAGAGCAGTTTTGCATGTGGAAGGAATGTATTTTTCAGACTGTAAACATGAAACAAACAAAAAATTAGAGACGAAATTTGGTGATTGGAATTTGAATGAATAGAAGTAAGTTTTCTTCTTTTTATTACTTTTGACATTTAAGTTATTTATCAATTTCAGCTTTGCTTTTCTTTAAACAGCCTGACATTGTCAGAATTGTCAGCAAAAATAAAATTGAGGTACCACATGGGGAAAATCTTAAAAAAGTAGTTTCGTCATTGAAAAGTGTGAAATTATATTTTGATAATTTTCACTGTGAAATTATCAACTATAATTTTCACGGATAAATCAGTAATCCACTGAAAAGCATAAAATAAATGTTATGATATTTTTTGCTCTAAAGTAACGATACAAAGTTATATAATATTCGCACCGCACTTCTCATTTTCCAAATCTTCTGGATAGCAGCTATAGATTCTTTACAGGTATTCCTTTTTATTTTTACTTGAACATTTATATATATATAGATAAGCTTAGCCAAAATGACAAATTCAATAATTGAAAAAGCAAAGTACATGTACTTGTTAAAGTTGGGGGACCTCTGAACCCCACTGGGAACATAAGGACATAAAGTGATAATAGTATTACTTTTATGTTTCCGGAAGCAAGCTCTGAAGCAGTTTTGTTTATTCTGTTTTTTGTTCTTGTATTTGTTTGATCATCAGTCCTTTAGCAATTCGAAATTGGCTTATTGGAATGTATGCGATTGAGACTTTATATTCGTTTTTGTGTTGAAGTTATGATTCTGACAATGTATATGCTTTCTCTGGATTAAGGCCACAAAAGACGATCGGTCAAATATTGAACATGGTTGTAACATAAAATCACTGATAGATAAGACTAAACTTAAAATATTTGCTCAACTAAACGGGCTTAATTATAAATAAACTGACTACTTTTTAAGCGATGTAAGACAAAAGGTCAATGTCTCAGAGGTCGACTGTTTGCTTCTTGCTTCCAAAACTCTTGATACGTTCATATATATACAATTTTCTGGAACAAAAATACATTTATAAATAATAATAATATAACTTTTTCAGCTCTCCATTCAAAGCTTTCCTGACACAGATGCTAGCCTTGATCAGTTTGTTATAAGTATTACCATCAACATATGTACACTCAGGCAGAGATTCGAGCTTTCCTGATACTAAGACACGGTGGAGATATCAGCAAGACACGCCTTAGAAGAACCATACGTTCTCTAGGATTGTGAAGAAACAGTAATGTAGCATCTGGTAATGAGATCTGGGATGGGATAAAAACAATTTGTTGGAATCAGGTTTCACTGATGCCGGATACAGAGTCATATGGCGACTTCTAAACGTCAGTCTGCGTGTGCGGGCCACTCAAGCTACAGTGCAACGACTTTTGAGACAGCTAGATATTGAAAGGGTGATCTTGAGAAGAGGACATCGGTTACGCCGACGCATATATAGAAATGGTGGGCCAAACTGCATTGTTAATATAGACGGGTATGACAAGTTAAAACCGTATGGCTTTTCAATCCATGGAGCTATAGACAGGTTATTGCGCAAATTGCTGTGGCTGAAAGTACTAAGGTCTAACAATAATCCATAGATAGTATCTGGATTGTATTAAGATATGGTAATGGAACAAGGTCTAGTTCCAAATGTGATAAGATGTTATGCTGGTACTGAACATGTAGCTGTGAATGACATACAAAGAGTTTTGCGTGTTGATCATGCTGATGTTAGGGAAGGTGGTCCTTGTTGCATGATAAACCGATCCACTGGAAATCAGCGCATTGAAGCATTTTGGAGCTTTCTTAAAAAGATTTTTTTTCTGTCAAATGGAGAAACCTATTTAAAGATCTGGAACAAATAGGTTTATTCATTACAACAGACACAGATGATATAGAAAACATGCGCATTACTACAGAATGAACTTGATCATGTGAAATCATACAGGAACTCACACAGGATAAGATTACAAAGAGATGTTGAACTTACTACAGGACAAGTACCTGATGTACTATTTTATCAGTCAGAACTGTTTTCTTCTTTGGACTGTTCTCTGCCACTTCCATGTTCACTGAACGAGCTGAGAGAATGGTCCATACAACTAAGTATAAAAGAACCTTGTAGAGGATGCTCTGATTCCTTTCTGACAAGAGTTTCATTGGCGAGCAATATAGCTGAAGAGTCTATCGAATCAGCAAACAATATCAATGATGCCTTACAAATGTACATTGCCAAAAGAGACTTGCTACATGCAACGGACAAAATTGTTAATTCAGAGTGACTAAATTTGTTGTTTAAAGTTTGTGTAAAGAGATGAAGTAATTGCAGATAAATATTACTTAATGTACAGTAATCTTGTTTTTATGGACTTAACTGTAGACATGAGACCGATTAAGGAGCATAAAATATAATTCCAAGTTATTTCTTTGTTTGGTGTTTGATTTCAATTTATGACCGCACTCTTGGTTGCTGTGTCCATGAATTATATCCTAACATACGTTTTCTACGCAAGTAACTGCAAACATCCTCATTTAAGACGAGCAATGCAATATCGTTATATCAACCTTGTTCAAAAAGGCTTATAAATTATTTCTTAGATATTAATTCATTACTCCATTTTGTTTCGGTTGGATTTGCCCTGTATTTCAAACGTGCAAGACCCTAAAATGGTAAAACTGCATCTTTGCAACTTAAAACTCGCGTAGCTACAAAGCATAACACTTCTTCGCATATACCTGACTAAATCCATCTTTCTGTATACTGCAGCACATTTGTAAGGTGCGCGTCAATGTTAGAACTATGGTGTACCATTTGGATCAAAAGTCAGTTTTGAGTGCATGCACAATTCAAAATATACTTAAACGTATAAGTGTGCGTGCACGCATAAATTAACTCTGAGTTAAAGAGTCTGACCAGAACGAAGCAACGATATGCGCTTTTCCTCTTGGTATTGAAGGTTCCCATAAAGTTTTGTTGAATTCCAACCAGTAGTTGCAGAGAACTAGTGCGGAAACGAAACGGACGGACGGACGGACACACGGACAACGCCAAAACAAAATCCCCCTCCCGATTCCATCGGCGGGGGATAATAAAGTTATAACCTTAATATATTGCTTTACCGTCTTTTTTGCTTTTAATCTTATAGAAATGTGTCTAGTGCTACACATTCATTGTGGATTGACCAACAATTCTTTTCTTGTATAAATTTGCCTTTAATGGCACTGCAAAAACGCAAAATTTGCTTTCAGATAAATATAAGTTTCCATGTTACATATCATTATATAAGTTTCCATGTTACAAATCATTATATAAGTTTCCATGTTACATATCATTTTATCAACCTTGTTCAAAAAGGCTTATAAATTATTTCTTAGATATTAATTCATTACTCCATTTTGTTTCGGTTGGATTTGCCCTGTTCGTCTGGCAAATGCAGTATTAACCTTAAACAGATTGACCTGACAATAGGACTACTTAGTATGTCCAATCACCTTTCTAGGTCAAACTTATATCATGTTACATGATAGAATACTTCCTGCAGGTAAGAAATTGTGTCCATTTCTACAAGTAGAAGAAATTGTCAGGTGACTATCTACCGGGACATGTCATTCCTGGATACTTGCTTTTTCCTCAAAATGTATATAAAACTAGAAATGTGTCATCATGCCACGGATGCCCCCGCATGCAGCCAAAATTTCAGATGTTATAATATTTAGTTCCAAATTTGTTTGCACAAATTATTTTTTTCATTTTAAGTTCAAAGCCCTTAAAACTTTTCAATGTTAACACAAACCATTTTCATACAATGTTCAAGGCACTGAAATTATTCAGTCTAAACCTTTTGAAAATAGCATATTTCATATTTGTAGCCAAAATAATGGCTACATACATTTCAGTGCTGAAACTGAAAGTTCAAAATTTTTCCAACATTCAAGAAAGATAAGTTTGTCCAAAATCATTGAACCACGACCAAATTCAAACTTAAACTGCTTATTCCTAAGATTTATCCTTATTATTTTCAAAGTGAAAGGGACATAACTCTGCCAAAAAATCATCGAACCATGGCCAAATTTAAACTTGACCTGCCCATTCCTTTGACATATCCATTATGTCAAATTTGAGTTGTTGGGTAGATAATGAACAAAAACTGTAAATTTCATATTATTTTCAAAGTGAAAGGGGCATTACTCTGCCAAAAATCATTGAACCATGACCAAATTCCAACTTGGCCTGGGCATTCCAAAAACATATCCATATGTCAAATTTGAGTTGAATGTGTTGTACCGTTGGGGAGATAATAAACAAAACTGAAAATTTCATATTATTTTCAAAGTGAAAGGGGCATAACTCTGCCAAAAATCATTGAACCATGACCAACTTTGAACTTGACCTGCGCATTCCTGTGACGTATCCATATGTCAAGTTTGAGTTGAATGTGTTGTACCATTGGGGAGATAATGATCGGAAACTGAAAATTTCATATTATTTTCAAAGTGAAAGGGGCATAACTCTGCCAAAAATCATTGAACCATGACCAAATTCGAACTTGACCTGTATTTTCTCACGACATATCCATATGTCAAGTTTGAGTGGACTGTGTTTTACCATTGGGGAAATAATGAACGGAAACTGAAAATTGCATATTATTTTAAAGTAAAAGGGGCATAACTCTGCAAAAATCATCGAACCATGACCAAATTCGAACTTGACCTGTATTTTCTCATGACATATTCATATGTCAAATTTGAGTTGAATGTGTGCAACCGTTACTAAGATAATGAACGGAAACTGATGATGACGGAATGACAGAATGACGGAAGGACGGAACAGGGTAACACTATATGCCCCGGCCATTACATGGCGGGGGCATAACAAAACAAATTTTATTTATTTATTTATCATTTTAATTAAATTTTCATGAAACATTTCTAAGAAATTACAATTTGAATTTTCTTAACAAAAAATGTCTTCTTATAGCATACTTATTACAAATCGTCCAATTAAGTGCAATGATTTGGTTAGGGAGGTCAAGCACTTGGGGATCGGAAAACATATTCCATATCATTACCCCAATGACAATGTGGCCTCAATTTAAATATAGGTATTCTACTTTGCATGTCCTACCTTGCTATGAATTTCAATATTCTTGGTCAAATAGTATTCAATGTTTGATCAGTTCAGACCCATATGACCTAGAGTATTATTAAAACTATTAATGCATCTGGACCAGTGCAGAATCAGATCAGTCTGCTCATCTGTGCAAGTATCATTGATCTATGAAATTTGGAGGTTCTGTGTTAAGGTTCTGAAGTTACAAAACAGAAATAGATTTCGTTCGTCTGGCAAATGCAGTATTAACCTTAAACAGATTGACCTGACAATAGGACTACTTAGTATGTCCAATCACCTTTCTAGGTCAAATTGGTATCTTTATGTTTTAACACCCTTTTTACCCAAGTAAGGATATAGTAAGGATATTGGTTATTCTAAAGTCTATATACACTAACAAACAAGTTAGCTGAAGTCATAACAAAAGCTCATAATGTCCTTACATTACTAAAATGACCTGTTGCTTCATTATATACAATGTTCACTGATTAATATCAGATCTGAATCATCTGATAATCTTTTAAATATGTTTGTAGAACTTTCTATTATAAAGCCATTTCTGTGGTTTGAGAGGAGAATCAACATGACTACATAACATATAGTAAAATCTTGGTAATTTAAGAAGATGCAACTAAATAATGAACCAACAAGAGTATCCGTAGAAGAAAAGCCCCCTAAATGCAAAAAGCAGAAATCGTATTTCAATATACTGTACGACATAAATGGTTGTAGCATCATTAAACACATGTTTTAGTAAGAGATTTTAACAAAATATTAACTTGTAGTAGTTCATTCCCATCTTAAATTGTTCCATAACACTGTTCTGCATTAACCCTTTGAATAAAATATGTGCATCTCATATTTTTCTCCTAAATGCATTGTTCCTGTATCTAATTTTTGGTTGTGGGGGAAATTAGTATAAATATGCATGTATAAATGTTACTTACAATCATTAACAACCTTTTAACATAATTTTAACATCAATCATTTTTAAACACTAAAAAGTAAATATTGAAATATATATATTTCCAAATTAAATTTTTTGGTTAAAATCCCTTTCAAAAATTTTAGAACATACAGAATATGGTCATGTTTAAGGATTTAAAAGTCGTTTTCTAGAAATGACACAAAAACAGCAATTTGTAATACACAAATATCAGTAACAGAAAAAAAGTATGCTGCATGAATATGGATGTTCAAACATTTTATAGCATGCAAATATAGTTTAACAATTGAGGTCATATAAATTTACACAAGATTATCCTTTTAAAAAGTTAAGGGCAGATAACTGAAGCAATATGCCAGGTTAGATTAAGGTTCCTGTTTAACTAAACCCTTTAGTGACCTTGACCTTTTTTAATGGGCCTGACTCATACACATACCTGTGCTACACAAAGTTAATGTTAATTTTGGTTAGCTTTAACCAGTAGTTACTTAAGTTGCTAAAAGCCTGTAATCTTAAATAACCTAAGAGCAACACATTTCATGACCTTTACAACAGGGTTTAAAGGGCACTAACGATTATAAGGATAAACCCAAACAATCAAATTTTAAGATAATTATTGTACAAAGAGCAATGCAAACTTCTCTTGGTGAAAATAATAACTGCTTCTATATGCAAAACAATATATGATTCTTTAAGAAACATTTATATCAGCACACTCCTCTTATCAGTGATTTTGCAAAAATACATTAAAATATGACAAGGATAACATAACATCCTTTCATAAATTGTTACAAGAAAATGGTAAAGAAATCTTGAATTAACAAAGTCTAACATATTTTTTGATGTGCACAACAAAGTATGACGTACAGCTGTTCACAACCTTTTTACACATTTAATATACAGGCTGCAAATTGTACCTCTTAAGTTTCATTAAAATACAAGCAATAGCTATAAAATTGTAAAGAAAAAAGGTCGGCATATAACTTATGCCATAGTCACAAAGTTGTAACAGAAAATAAAGATTGGCATATAACTTTAATCTTAAAAAAAAACAACATCTCCTGCAGACTTTAGCACAAAACAAACTGCATAAAGTATCTTCTTACTCATAGGGCATCCCTTTTACACTTTGACATCAGAGCAAAAATTTCTGGGTAGCGTCAAAAGCTTACAAAGATATAAGACCAGAATGGATGTCTTCATTGCTCAACAGATGTACATAAAAAACATCTCAAAAATAGTCTTTAAGACATAATAAAACTCACGACATTTCATTTGTTTGTTTGTTTGTTTCATTTTACGCCTTTTCCCAACAGTATTTCAGTCATATAGGAGGGTAGTTTCCTAACCACCATTCCTGGAGAGTTACACCAGTACTACACTACCAAAGCATCTCCCTGGGATCGAACCCATGCCAGAGAGGTAACTGGATTAGAAGTCATCGACTCTTAAACCCCTCAACGGTGAGATATGACATTTCATGAAACTGTGGATAATAGGAAGCACTGACATTCATTGTGCTAACATTTCCCCTTCAGATATTGAAAACTAAAAATTTATATGTATCACATATATCTAATATGGCAGGGGAGATTTTGGCAAACTTTCTGAATGAAATTTTAAAATCTCTTAAACTTGCCTTTATTCATTCCAGCCTTAAACTCAACAACATTACTGTTAACATGCCTTAGACCACCCATTCTTATATGTTTTTGATAAATTTCATGCTGCTCCTCTCCAAGAAAATTTTGTAAATTGGCTTTGTAACCAAATTCTACATGAGACGCTTGCACACCTTTAAAGAAGTAGCTATGATTAATTGCAATCCACAAAGCAACAACAGATGAAAAGTGAAGTTGTCTCCCTTTCACTGAATCTAGAAATAATGGCATACTTGTTGATTCATACAGTAAATCATCATCTGGATCATACATATATATGATAAAGCTTGATTTTGATATTCCTATCAAGGGAACAACGCCACCCCTCATTGCAAAAGCAAATGTTATACTTTCTGAAATCAGTTGATTCTGTGAATTTTCCAGCTTTCCCCTTTTACGTTCAAATGCAGAATTGCTACTTTCTAAAAAGTCATCTTCATCTCCTTGGTAAGAATTGAAAACTTCTATACATGTAGGACCAAGTAAAATGTCTACACTGCCATGCCAAACCTCCTCATGACCTGAAAAATAGTTCAAGATATAAAACTTAGTCTATGAGCCAGCAAGTGCGAGTATAACAAGAGCCTTGCATAATATTGCTTCTCAGTACATGATAGTATAATAAAAGCAAATTAGGAAAGGAGGCATCAGTATGCAAAACTGATTGGAAAATTATCTGATCTAATAGTAAACAAGTATTTCAAGTTTGAATTGAATATATCTGATAGTTTCTGAGCAAATAAGGAAACAAAAGGGCCTTAACGGCCCTCATTACCTCACCAGAAACAACTGTTTTTCAGTGTTAGAATAAATGTTTCAAATGAACTTGCAACAGGCAAGTCCAGCTAAACTTTCAACTTGCCCCTCTAGTTATACCATTGAATGAATTAATGAATGAATGACATGAATGAACTTAAATCTTTTAAGTTTCAAGTTTGTCTATATCATAGTAATGTGATCAGTTTCCCTGCCTAGTAAGAAAATTATGTTTTTACAACAGATAAACAAAAAGTCCAATTTTTTCAGGATGAATAAGTATAACTTATGTTCCAACCTTTCTCTATTTTAAGTAAATTTGTTCGAAAAAATCTTTAAGTGATCTCAGGAAACAGTTTTTATGAACAGATAGACAGACTGAAGGAGACTCTAAAGTTTATTTTATAAACATCCCTGTTACCAAAATATAATTTTTTTTTAAAGCAAAATTCTTAAAGAGGAATAAAGACACTAGATTTATGAACATTGTCATACATGATGTGAGTGTAACTAAGAACAATTATTTTAAGTTTCAAGATACCATTTATAGTCACAAAGAGAAAAGTAAAAAAATAATAGTTTTCAACTAGAACTGCCACTATCATGGCGTGAATACCCCCGCATACCACTTTGTCAGAATCAACAGTGGCCATTTAGAGCTTAAGGACAACCTCCCTGCCAAATCTGAGGTTACTAAGCCAGTGCATTGCTAAGTTATGTATTCTACATGCTTCAAATGTGAAAATGTCAAAATCAATACATTGCGGACAGGACATTCTTTAGCAATTGAGAAGAAAAGCTTTTTTTTTGTCAAGGTCCCTGTGACCTTGACCTTTGACCCAGTGACCTCAAAATCAATAGGGGTCACCTTATAGTCATTATCAACATCCATGCCAAATATGAAGACTGTGGGTCAAAGGAATCTAAAGTTATTGGGCAGACAAACTTTTTGAAGTCAAAGTCCCTGTGACCTTGACCTTTGACCTGGTGACCTCAAAAACAATAGGGGTCATCTACTAATCATGACTAACCTCCATTCCAAATATGAAGACTGTGGGTCAAAGGAATCTTAAGTTATTGGGCGGACAAGCTTTTTGAAGTCAAGGCCCCTGTGACCTTGACCTTTGACCTGGTGACCTCAAAATCAATAGGGGTCATCTACTAATCATGACTAACCTCCATGCCAAATATGAAGACTGTGGGTCAAAGGAATCTTAAGTTATAGGGCGGACAAGCTTTTTGAAGTCAAGGCCCCTGTGACCTTGACCTTTGACCTGGTGACCTCAAAGTCAATAGGGGTCATCTACTAATCATGACTAACCTCCATGCCAAATATGAAGACTGTGGGTCAAAGGAATCTTAAGTTATTGGGCGGACAAGCTTTTTGAAGTCAAGGCCCCTGTGACCTTGACCTTTGACCTGGTGATCTCAAAGTCAATAGGGGTCATCTACTAATCATGACTAACCTCCATGGAAAATATGAAGACTATGGGTCAAAGGAATCTTAAGTTATTGGGCGGACAAGCTTTTTGAAGTCAAGGCCCCTGTGACCTTGACCTTTGACCTCAAAATCAATAGGGGTCATCTACTAATCATGATTAACCTCCATGCCAAATATAAAGGCTATGGGTCAAAGGAATCTTAAGTTATTGGGCGGACAAGCTTTTTGAAGTCAAGGCCCATGACCTTGACCTTTGACCTCAAAATCAATAGGGGTCATCTACTAATCATGACTAACCTCCATGCCAAATATGAAGACTAAGGGTCAAAGGAATCTTAAGTTATTGGGCGGACAAGAAAAAACCGACGGACGGACGGCCGGACGGACGGACAAGCTGATTCCAGTATACCCCCCTTACAACTTTGTTGTGCGGGGGTATAAATATACTATTAACATGTAAAAATATATATATAATGTAGGTGTCGATAATTAATGTTTATTTTGAATTTAAAGTAAATCCATGAAGAAATAAGAAAGTAAAAGAATGAATAAGAAAAATTCAAAGTTTAAGGAGGAGATAATTCTGGAAATATGGATTCTAGATTTATAAACCTTATCATATTAGTATGTGGGAGTTTGAAGTAAATCCTACAAGGAATGAAGAAGTTCTAAGTTCAAGGGGGAAATAATTCTGGAAATAGTCTTGCAAGAAAATTGAATCTTCTCACAAATGTTGACTGATAATAAGAAACATATATAACAAGATATGTTTGTAAAACATGTATGCCCCCTATCGGCAGCCAATTAGTCATGTGATCAGGTAATTACGACTGACTTTTGACCTAGTGACCAAAACATCAATAAGGGTTAATTACTGGTTATGACTAGTCACTAGGTATTTGTGACCGCAAAGGTTCAACCAATGCAACTTGAGTTGTTGAGTTATTGGTCAGAAACATTCTTTTCATACAAGGTCAATATGACATTGACCTTTGACCCTTAAATCAATAGGGGTTATCTACTGGCCAAGAACAATGCACATGTGAAGTTTGAAGGTAAAGGGCCCATGAGTTGGTTTATTGATCAGAAAGCATTGTTACCCATGGGTTGTCAAGTTATTGATCGGAAACCGTTTTTACCTACAAGGCCAATGTGACCTTGACCTTTAACCCTTTGACCCCAAAATCAATAGGGGTCATCTACTGGTCATGAACAATAATCATACCAAGTTTGAAGTTCCTAGGCCTAAGCGTTCTTTAGTTATCACTTGGAAACTATTTGGTCTACAGACCGACGGACCGACAAAGGGAAGGGGGGCATAATTACGAAGTTTGAAGTAGATACATTAAGAAATAAAGAAGTTATCAAAAAAAAACAAAAAAAAACATTTTTTTCATGAAAATTCTTAGTTCAAGGGAGGTCATTTTGATAATTTTTAGGCTAGAGTTGTAAACCTTGTCACATAATATTATGATGTGGTTGATAACCAGAAACTTATATTTAAAGTTTGAAGTAAATACCATAAGAAATAAAGAACTTATAGTGAAAAAGCATAAATACTAAAATCAGAATTCTTGAAATTAAGTCTATTTGTTGCCATATCAACCAGAATTTTCATCATATGAAGAAAAGAAAAGATGAGCATAATCTCCAGACTGCAATCTACCGATATTTTAAGTTTCATAAAAACATTTTCAGTACTTTTTGCGTTATCCCTGGATTCAGTTTCTGTGTTAAATTTGCCATATTTTCAGTGTATATATTGCCATAATAAGCAACCAGAATTTTCAACATGGGAAGAAAAGAGAAAGACATGCATTATCTCCATACTGCCATTTATCCATACATCATTTTTCATAAAAATATTTTCAGTACTTTTTGTGTTATCACATGATCCAGTTTTGTGGACGGACGGAAGGACTGACAGACAGACGGACAGAGAGTAAACCTAAAGTCCCCTCTGGTTAAACCAGTAGGGGACTAACAAAAGGGCCAAGGTGGCTTTAGATCACTCACCTGACCCATCATTTCATTGTTCACTATATAAATTGAATTATTTTGTCCTAAAACTTTTGAAAGGCTTTCTTAAAATAAGGGTGTAACGATACGCTCACCTCACGATACAATACGTACCGCGGTACAGCCGGTCCATGATACAATATGTATCACCATACATATTGACTAAGAAAATTATCTGTAATCCATTTAAACTCTATATTTTCACACAGGTGTATTATGGAAAATTAATTTAAAGTTGTGATGTAACAACATTATTGTTATTTCCATATTGTTTCTTATCTACCAAGTATTTATCAAATGAGTCATTTGCATTAAATGATGCAGTATGGCTTGAAATCAAGTGAATGGACTGGTCAACATATTTTCTATTAAAGTAAAAGGTTAAAAGCTTTAATATTTTCTGAAACTATGAGAACAAGAATTTGTAACAGAGTTACCACGTCCCCCGCCTCGGGGAAGTTTTATATGAAGAATAAAATTGTGCTATTTCAAAAGATTGAGGTATGGATCTCAGGACTTTCAGTCCAAAATTATGATCAATGCTAGATCTGCATATGCACTTACCCTGAACCTTCGGTTCTGGTGAGCTAATTATCAAAGCTCTAAGCCTTGTACCTTCAGACTTTTTCAGATTTTTTAACTTTTTACTATAATTATATACATAATAAAAATCAGTAACACCAAGGGGCGGGGCCAATTTTGACCCCAGGGCCATAATTTGAACATTTTTTGTAGAATTTCATTAGATGATGTTACACACAAAATATCTAAGCTCTATAGGCCTTGCAAGTTTTACAAAACTTGTAAACAAGAATTGTTACCCATGCTATTGTCATCAATGTTAATTGGCTTTTTACATCCACATGGACATTCCGTAGACAACTCACAATAGCCTGAATCTATTTTCATCTGATCATATACAGCAAGCATTTTCAGCACATGAGTTCCAAATATAGATGCCCATCGTCCTTCCTTGATTGATTCAATTTTCAGTTCATTCTGTAAAATTTTGTTGGTATCTGAAATGCATAAAAAATTACAAACATGAGAACAATATGGAAAAGCAAAAGTCTCCGACAAACTTTATTTGACAAGTGCTTAACTCAGAAAGAGGATCATAATCTCACCAGAGATCTACAGCTAAAATGTTTAGAAATAGGTCATTGACTCAAAATGGGATGAGACCATCTTGTCAATAAAGTACTTTAGTGATTTACTTTTGTAGAGGCCTATTAAATTAAGCAAGAGGCCCATGGGCTTTAAAGCTCACCTGAATATTCTACAGTACAGTGATATTTTATTTTTAATTTTCAAAACAACCTGTGGCTTTCTGAAGGGGTTAATATAGTGCACTAAATCAGACATTAGGGCCATCAGTGATGACATGTGTTGCCTCATGATAGCCATGCCTCGGCAAAAACTCATTCAACCTAAAAACCAGTGTAATATGCACAAGAATTTTAGCTATTGATTAATCCTGTAAATTTTCATTGAAATTGCATTAGTGGTATAACAGGAGTAGTCCAGACAAATTTCAAAATTAAAAGCATGACAGGCAACTAGAAATGTGTCCATAGGACACAAGTGCCCCCACACTCCACTGTTTTGTCAATCTTATGACTCAAGGTCAAATATGTTTTGGGCTACCTACATGTGCCACAAGTTGAAAACTAAATATCCTTTACTAAGTAAAGGGAAAGATCTACAAATACTGAATATATCCACAAGCGAACCCTGAGGTGCATACGTACACATAGCATGCTCATGCTGACCAACATTCTTGTAAACTTTCAGGCCTACACATCAAATACTTTTTGAACTATGCATGAACAAGTTGAAAATTGCAAATTTATACTAAGTCAAGGGCAATAACTCTTAACAAAACTGTAAATACACATGCAAAATCCCAGGTGCATTACTTCACAGTGATGTTGATCATTATTCCTGCAAAGTAAATTGATTCTAACTCAAGCACTCAAGGAGCAAATAACACAACATAATGAAACTGTTTTTACAAAGTTAAGGGCAATAACTCTACAAATACTGGATAAATCCACAAGCTAAATCCAAGGTGCAAGGTGTACCAAGACAATGCTATATTATGCTCAGAAACTTAGATGAACAAGGACGAATCACATGGGCAACTCATGTTAAAAGTATGTTATTTCAATTAGGCCTAAGTTACGCATGGACAGCGAACGGAGTCGGAAATGTTAAAACATTCATGCAAGTATTTAGGACACAAGTCTCAGACTGCTGTAGACAAGAGATACTGTCTGACATTAATTCATCACCAAAAGCGATCAGTTACAGAATTTATAAAACATCTATTTCTGACGAATGTTATTTGTCACTGAGTATGCCATATGCATATAAATGCGCATTAGCAAAGTTTAGATGCAGTGGCCATGACTTGAAAATTGAAACAGGAAGGCACTTAAATATTGACAAAGAATTTAGATTTTGTTCATTTTGTCTTAAATGTAATGTGTATGTTGTGAAAAATGAAGTGCATTTTTTGATTGATTGTCAGCAGTACAACGACCTTAGACACAAACACTTAAACTTTTGTAATTGGAATGTGATTGTAAACAGTAATGAACGCTTTAATTCTATAATGTCAGAAACAGTGAAAGACAATATTAGAAAATTGGCAAAATTTATCTATGAAGCAAATAATTTAAGAAAACTTCAAATAACTGAACAAATTTAAACATGTATATTGTAATGTTGTTAATTTATTTTTATGTGCCATGAATTTCAGTTACTCCATTAAATTTTGTTGAAACTATCTTTTCTCTATGTAACCATACCTTTATGTTTAAATAAGATATCTAAATTAATAGTTATCTCTTCAACACTGATATTAATCATATTGGCAATTGTACATTATATGTTTAATTAATATTACCTTTATTTCAACTTAAATATTCAATATTACCATTGTAGTAATTACTTGTAAATATACTCATATGTCTATTATATATATTTATATCTCACTCTTTGTTAAATTAAACTTGTGATTGTATTTTGGGCTGAAGGCATTATATTACGAATAAACACATTGTCATTGTCACAACTACATATGCTGATCAACATTCCTATTAAGTTTCATGACTCTAGATTAAATACATTTTGAGATATGCACAACACAAATTGAATATTGCAAATTTTCACAAGGGCAATAACTCTGACAATACATATCAATTCACAAGCGAAATCCCAGATACAAAACGTCACGTGCTGAGCAAGTTAGAGAAACATTCCTGTAAAGTTTCATGACCCTATGTGAAATACTTTTTGAGCTTCATGTGACACAAGTTGAAAATTGGAAATTTTTACATAGTCAAGGACAATAACTCTACAAATACTTAATAAATCTAAACGAAAATACCCAGGAGCATAACTACACATGCTGATCAACAATCCTGTTATTAGTTTCAAGACTCTAGGTCAAATAATTTTTGAGCTACCTGCAACAAAAAATGAGAACGGACAGATGGACGGACAAGATTAAATCTAAATGCCCAGCCTAAAGTGGGGGCACAAAAATCAATGAACCGAAAAATGTTGATGAGATGCACAACTTGACATGGTATTGATCATTTCCCTAAAGTTTTGATGAAATTGCAACTTCTGTGTAGCTGGCAACACAAAAAAGCACATTTTTTATTCAAGGGCAATAACTCGGCCACTAATCATTCAAGCGGAAAACCCATGTAATATACGCAAGTACTTGACCTACCAATCAATCTTGTAATGTTTCATTGAAATTGCATAAGTGGTATAAAAGGAGAATTCCCGACAAACTTTAAAAAATAAAAATAATTAAAGGGCCATAACTCTTTCAAAATTCAATGAACCATAAAATGCTAAGGATATGCACAACTACACTTGGTACTGATCATTAGACCTGTAAAGTTTAGATGAAATTGCACCTGGTCCAGTAGTTTTGAGAAGTAGTCCGGACAAGCTTTTGTGTATCTGGCAACAATAAACAAGAGGGCCTAGTCGTTCACCAGAAACAACTGTTTTTCAGTGTTAAAAATTATTTTTCAAATGAACTTGCTGATAGGCAAGTCCAGCTCAACTTTAACCTGCCCTTCTAGTTAAATACTTTTACAACACTGATTGGTTTTTTTCCAAATATGTATATCAACTGAACAAGAGGGCCCCGAAGATCGCTCACCTGAGCCATCAAACACATCCGAGCAATTACCTAGACAAGCATTCTGATCAAGTTTCATGACAGGTGAGTCAAAAATGAGACCACTATTGATATTTTATGTCTAAGCCCGATCGGGCATTTTCACCAGCCTGATAAGCAGTCTTCAAGACGTTTCATGCCCATTTGGGAGTGAAACGTCTTGGTGTAAACCGTCTTGGAGTCAACCATCCCAATAGTGAAACGTCTGTCTACCTATATATAAACAATCAATATAACAACTCGTTTTAAGCTGCAGACTTTAGTATAAAACTAAAAACAGCAAATTTCACATTGAATATCTGTACATTATTAATTTATACTGATTTATGGAATGAAATTTTTTTAAATTTCTAGACTATCAATAAATGGTAAAGGGTCAACTCGGCCCAGGCCCCTATACCACCTTGGCACGGGTCAACTCGGCACAGGTCAACTCGGCCCTCTATTAAAAACATATATTAGGATATAGATTGTTTAGATTGTTAAGTTAATTAATAAAAATTTTAAGGACAAAATTACTATAAAGTTATGATCATTTACAAACAGAAATTTAAAAAGTTGCCAGTGTACTACAGTGACCTGTACGTATTGTTTGAAATTATCTTTGTTAAGACAGGGTGTCTGTTTGACCCTTGAAATGACACTTTGACCCTTCAAATTTCCAAAAGGCCTGATTTGACCCTCAGGATTTTAACTGAAGGGTCAAATTTTGTTAAAATCATGGGGATTTGACCTTGTAATCGGAAAAACTTGGTCAAAATGACCCTCAGGATTTCATTGCAAGTGAACACTCTGTAAGAAGAGATATCAAGACAATATATGCAGGGCTTTTTTTCACAGATTGGGGAAGCAGCCAAGCCTTTAATTTTGGGGAAAAATTACACAGTATAATTGCAAAAGGGGAAGAAAATTTTTTTGGGGAAAACTGCATGATTTTAAAGAATTTTTCTTTGGGGAAGCAGCCCCTGCTATAGAAGGAAAAAAAGCCCGGATATATATTTTAAATATTGATCAATAAATAGAGTTTTTAGATTGAATTTTTGTGACTGTTTGTTCTTTGAATACGACCAATGCTGTTTTAACAATATTTTTTACAAAAAATCTAGAGTAGCAAAACATGCATATAAATCTTAAATTCTTTCTTTCTCTACAAATTCACATACAAATTGGTACTTTCATCAATAAAACTTTTCAATATCCTTGAGTAGAGGTCTGTTACTGTGAAAATGTTAAACCATGAAAGTTATTCATGAAAGCATATAATTATCAAAAGTAAACAAGGGTGCCATAGTCACAAAATACGCCCGTTTACGAAAAAGCTTTAGATGGAGATGGGGGCATTATGGATAAGTGTTATCTAGCAAGCAAGTTTTTATTCTTGGCACTGTGTTGTTAAATGAACCTTAAAACAAATCAGTAGGGAAGATATGCACAGAATGTGTGACCTTGACCTTGGTCGCAGGGACCTGAATTTTATGCACGGCACTCAGCCTCACAATGACGAACATTTGTGCCAAATTATATTGAAATCCCTCTATGCATGTAGAAGTTTTGCTCCAGACAAGTGTTTTTCTATGAGCTCTAACTGTGACCTTCACCTTTGACCTAGAGACTTGGTTTATGTGCAGGGCACTACGTCTCATGGTGGTGAACAATTCTATAAAAGTAACATTAAAATTCCTCCATGCATGTAGAAAATATGCTCCGGACAACATCTGGATATTTAATCATCTCCAGTGACCTTGACCTTGCAAATATTAACCTAAATTAAATGTGTAACACCTGTAGTCATGATAGTTACCATTTGTGCTA